CTCAAATGGTAGAGTACCTGCCTAATAAGTGCATGACCCTGAGTTCAAACCCCAGTACTACTAAAATAAATATATATATATGTATATATATATTCCATATATATATTCTATATATATAGAGAGAGAGAGCATCTGGTTGAGGATAGTTGTGGGGGATGCGGCTGAGGAGGAGGTTGGGGTTGGGCGTGGAGGTCTGGGGAGCTTGGATTTGCTTCTGCCAGTAGTGAGGGAGTCTGGGGACTGTCTGCTCCAAGCCTGTCTTCTTGAGCCCCAGCATGTGGTGAGTACTTCCTCTGTTGCCCAGCAACCCATCTTCAAACCATCCGGAAACTCTCTCCCCTTTCCTGCTCCCTGCAGCCAATTCCCCAGGCCTTGAATCCCTTCCTTCTTTGTCTCTAGTCTCCATCGTCTCCGGCCTGGGTCCCGTTTCCTGATCCTTTTCCTTCTGTCTATGAAGGACCCAGGGACCTCTCTTCTTTGTCAAGTTTCATTTTTTTTCAATTGACACACAATTATTATTCAAATCTATGAGCTACAATGGGATGTTTCAACATATGTATATAATGTGTAATAATGAAATCAGGGTAATTAGCATATCCATCTACTCAAAACCATATTATCTCTTTATGGTGAAACATTAGAAATCTCCTGTAGATGTTTTGAATACAGAACCTATTATTAATAACTATAGATATCCTACTGAGCAATAGAATATGAAAACTTAGCTGGGTTGGGTACTGCTGGCTCATGCCTCATTACAGGCAAAAAAGAGGGGGGGCTGGGAATGTGGCTTAGTGGTAGAGTGCCTGCCTAGCATGCATGAAGCCCTGGGTTCCATTCCTCAGTACCACATACACAGAAAAAGCTAGAAGTGGCTCAAGTGGTAAAGCGCTAGCCTTGAGCAAAAGAAGCTCAGGGACAGTGCCCAGGCCCTGAGTTCAAGCCCCATCTACCACTACCACCAGCAACAAAAATAAAAACACAAAACAGAAGAGGAGGTGTGACTCAAGTGGTAGAGTATCAGCCTTGAGTGTAAAAAGGCAAATGAAGCCAGGTGCTGGTGGCTCACGCCTCTAATCCTAGCTATTCAGAAGTCTGAGATCTGAGGATCTTGGTTCAAAGGCAGCCCAGGCAGGAAACTCTGTGAGACTCTTATTTCCAATAAACTACCAGAAAAACAGAAGTGGTGCTGTGGATCAAGTGGTAGAGAGCTCACCTTGAGCTGAAGAGCCGAGGGACAGCGACTAGACCCAGAGTTCAAGCCCCACGACTGACAACAACAACAACAACAACAAAAACAAAGAGGCAAATGAGAGCATGAGGCCCTGAGTTCAGGTCCCAGTGCTGGCGTGCATGCACGCGCACATGCGCGCACACACATACACCAATTCTTAATGGTTACATGCCTTGCAGAACTGACACAGTGTGTGGCTGCCTAGTTCTGGAGAGGCTTGGTGTGTGTGGGGGGGTTATGAGGGAACATTGGGGATGAAGGACTTGCTGTCACTAGTGAGCTACAGGGGGTGTCTGTGAGTCCCGGTCTCCTCCAGCTGGTGGCATTAGGACAGCCATCCTGCACCTTGGTAAAGCTCCCAGCTCAAGCAGAATGGACTGTGTCGCCCTGGAGAAAGCCACCTGCTCCCCCTTCCATTTGTACCCGCTCTGCCCGAAGCCAGCCCACCCCCAGCTGTCCCCAGAGCACATTTGTCTCCACTTGCCAACCAAACTCCTCCTCAACCATCACTATCTTGGTGCAGTTGCCCTTCTAACTACTACAAACAGATTGTTCGTTCTTCCTTCCCACAATGCCATGGGGGCGGGGTTGGCATGGGTGCCCGGGCTGTATGGGAAAAGACCCCTCACTTACCATTGGCATTGCGCCCCCTCAGGGCCATGTACCATCTCCAACAGTTCCAGTGGCTACATTTCAGTACACATGGCTACCTGATAGGTAGAAACTGAGTAGAGAGATGAATGAATGAATGAATGAATGATGACTTTTGAATAACATGGCAACACCAGCTATCTCTTGGAGTTTCCCTCTGTCATCCAGGATGACCTCAGGAAAAGCAACCCACAGTGAGAACATATTTTATTTTATGGCAACTTATTTTATTTTATTTTTTGGTTCTGGTCGTGGGGCCTGAACTCTGGGCCTGGGCGCTGTCCCTCAGCTCTTCAGCTCAAGGCTAGCTCTCTACCACTTGAGCCACAGCGCCACTTCTGGCTTTTTTTCTTTTTGCATATGTGGTGCTGGGGAATTGAACCCAGGGCCTCATGCATGCAAGGCAAGAGCTCTACCGCTGAGCCACCTTCCCAGACCATTTTATAGCAACTTAGACATCACTTAAGATGGAAGAAGAGCTCAGGCCTGGAATGGATCTATTCAAATTATAAGATTTTTTTTTCTCTTCTAGTCCTGGGCACTGACCCTGAGCTTCTTTTGCTCAAGGCTTGCACACTACCACTTGAGCCATAGCACCACTTCAGGGTTTTCTGTGTATGTGGTACTGAGGAATGGAGCTCAGGGCTCCAAGCCTGCAAGGCAAGCACTCTACCACTAGGCCATATTCTAGCCCCCAGAGCATAAGATTTAAGGATGAAATTAATGGGGATGAGGATGCGTGAGATTACACTTCAAGGTTTCTCTGCTGTGAGATTGAAAACATCATTTATTTGAAAATTCAGTTTGGCTGAGTGGTGGTTTGGGGGAAAAACAACAGTTTTTTAGAACTATGAAGAGAAATGCTTGGAAGATAGCTAGAAATAGATGTCTGGAGCTTGGGAGGGAACTCAGAGCTCGAGAAAAGGATTTAAGAATCACCTGAAGCCAGGTGCTGGTGGGTAGCTTATGCCTGTAATCCTAGCCACTCAGGAGGCTGAGACTGAAGATCCTGGCCAGCCAGGAGAAGACAAATCCAAGAGACTCTTAACTCCAATTAACCAGCAAGCAACCCAAAAAGGAAATGTGGCTTATGTGGTAGAGTACTAGCCTATAGCAGAAAACATTAAAGGAGAGCACAAGGTCCTGAGTTCAAGTCCCATTGCCAGTGTTGTAATGTCCTCGGAGTCAAGAAAATCCACGAAGGTACAGTTAAAGGTGACAAGGAGTTTTATTTGGCCAGCCAACAATTGCCTAGTCCTGGGAGGATCAAGAACAACACCAACCTCCAGTGTTTTTATATAGGTCAGAACTACACACAGATGGTGGTTTACAGAAGCTCAAAGATGATTGGGGGAGGGGATATTCTTCAGCTGTGGTTAGGACCAGGCAAACAACATTCTGGAAGCCAGAGATTCAGTATTGGAAGTGAGGGTTATACCACAGAGTAAAGAAAAAAGAAAAGGCCGGGCGCTGGTGGCTCACGCCTGTAATCCTAGCTACTCAGGAGGCTGAGATCTGAGGATCTCGGTTCAAAGCCAGCCCGGGCAGGAGAGACCGTGAGACTCCTATCTCCAATAAACCACCAGAAAACCGGAAGTGGCGCTGTAGCTCAAGTGGTAGAGCGCTCTCCTTGAGCTGAAGAACTGAGGGACAGCGCCCAGGCCCAGAGTTCAAGCCCCACGACTGACAAAAGAAAAAAGAAAAGAAGAAAAGCCAAGCACATGTGGCTCACATCTGTAATCCTAGGTACTCAGGATGCTAAGATCTGTGAATTGCAATTCAAAACCAGTCTGGGAAGGAGGGTGAGATTCTTTTTTCTTTCTTTCTTTCTTTTTTTGCCAGTCTTGGTGCTTGAACTCAGGGCCTGGGCACTGTCCCTGAGCTTTCTGTGCTCAAGGCTCGCACTCTGCCACTTGAGACACAACACCACTTCTGGCTTTTTCTGTTGATGTGGTACTAAGGAATTGAACCCAGTGCTTCATGCATGCTAGGCAAGCACTCTACCACTAAGCCATCTTCCCAGCCGGATGGTGAGATTCTTATTCCAAGTTGACCACCAAAAAGCTAGAAGAGGAGCTGTGGCTCAGATGGTAGAGTACTGGCTTTGGGTGAAAAGCTAAGGGGCAGATCCTAAGCTCTGAGTTCAAGTCCCAGGACTGGCATTAAAAGTAAAGGCCCTAGGTGGGCACCAGTGGCTCATGCCTGTAATCCTAACTACTCAGGAGGCTGAGATCTGAGGATCGCAGTTTGAAGCCAGACCAGGCAGAGAAGTCCATGAGAGTCTTATCTCCAATTAACCACCAGAAAACAGGAAGTGGCACTGTGACTCAAGTGGTAGAGTACTGACCTTGAGCAAAACAAGCGCAGGGATAGTACCCAAGCCCTGAGTTCAAGTCTCAGCACTGGCAAAAATAATTTTGTTATTGTTGTTGGTCTTGGGGCCTGAACTCTGGGCCTGGGCACTGTCCCTTAGCTCTTCAGCTCAAGGCTAGCGCTCTACCACTTGAGCCACAGTGCCTCTTTCAGCTTTTTTCCGCTTACATGGTGCTGAGAAATTGAACCCAGGGCCTCAAGCATGCAAGGTAAGCACTCTACCACTGAACTACCTTCCCAGTCCCCCCAAAATAAATTTTGTAATGAAATAAATAAAAATAATAAAAAAAGAAAAGGTAAAAAAAAAAAAGAAAGAAAAGGTCTGGTGCAGTGCTTTGTAATCCTAGCTACTCAGGAGGCTGAGATCTCAGGATCCATAGTTCAAAGACAGCCTGGGCAGGAAAGTCCCTGAGACTCTTATCTCCAATAAACCACTACAAAACCAGCAGTGGAGCTGTGGTTCAAAGCGGTAGAATGCAAGCCTTGAGCAAAAGAGCTCAGGGATGGTGCCCAGGCCCTGAGTTCAAGTCCCTCGACTGACCCCCCCACCCTCAGCCGAAACAAAGGCTTTCTAGCCCTCAGGAGGGAGCCCATTTCTGCCTTCAGTTGGGCTGGGCTTAGGGAGGGGACCTGCGCCTCCCTCAGGCCTAAAGCCTCCTCCCACGGGGGCAGGTACAGCAAGGGTCCCAGAGGCCTCTATTGAGAAAGGTCAGTCACCAGCAAGGCCGTCCCTCCCTCTCCCCCCCTCCCCTCCCCTCCGACAGCCCCACCCCCAGCCTGGCCTCTGGGAACACGGATCGCAGCCGCGGTGGACGCTCTAGCTGACCATGGACGCTGAAGGTGAAGGGGCTGCTCTGCCCCGTGTCCCTCTCTCTCCCCATCCTGGACAGCTCTGTCCCTCTGCCTTTTCCTGGAAGGCCCCGGCCCCCTCCATCTCTCTAAGGACTCTTTTCCCTCCCCTCCCCCTCCAGCCTCCAGGACCCCACCCCCACAAAGGCATCCTCTCCCTGTCCCCTCCCCCTGTTGGGCCCCCCACCGTTGAGTTGAGGGGTGAAGAGGCCCGGGGCCCAGGAGAGGGAAGGGAGGATCTCGGACAGGGACAGAAGTCGGAGTGTGGCCGGGGCAGCGGGGTGGACTCTGTCCCCTCTCTAGCCGCTGGGTAGAAGCTGAGGCAAAGTCCTGTGGAATCGGCTAGGTGGAATTGGGGTGGGGTGGGGGATGGGGGATCTGCATGGCTGTGACCTGACACTTGGAGGGGGGGTCTCAGGACTCCCCCAAGGACAGGCTGGGGCAGGCCTCTGAGCCCCCAGGGCCCCATTTCCTTGAATCTGTAAGCTTTCCATGCATAGGCTCCAGCAGCTCTGTGGCTAAGGTCCAGGGCGCACAGGCTCTTGCCTGAGCCCCCTCAATTTCCACACTGCCCCCTGAGCCTCTCCTCTCTGCCCCTCCACTGCCTTCTCCTTGGCTGGGGTTCTTGCACTAGCCCCTCGGGGCTTGGTGAACTGGCTCTTGGGGTCTCCTGCAGGACAACAGGCCCCCACCCCTTGCAGCCAGGGCAAGTCACTTAGAGGGGAGGAGCCTTGGTTTGCACATCTGGGGGGTGGCGCTGATGGCCAGGCCTCAGGGCTATAGAGAGGGTTAACTACTGTGGCACACGTGCTGGAGTATTGCCATCCTGGGCCCCAGGGGAATTCAGGACCCCCATCCCCACCCCCATGTGTGTGTGTGTGTGTGTGTGTGTGAGAGAGAGAGAGTACTGGAACTGGAACTTGAACTTCGGGCCTTGTGCTCATATTCTCTCTCACTTAGCTTTTTGGTGGTGGTGGTGGTGGTTGTGGGGCTTGAACTCAGGGCCTGGGCATTGTCCCTCAGCTCTTCAGCTCAAGGTGAGCGCACTACTGCACTACTACTTGATCCACAGCGCCACTTCCTGTTTTCTGGGTGGTTCTTTGGAGATAAAAGTCTCACGGGCTTTCCTGCCTGGGCTGGCTTTGAACTGTGATCCTCAGATCTCAGCCTCCTGAGTAGCTAGGATGACAGGCGTGAGCCACCTGGCTGTCATTTAGCTTTTTTGCTCAAGGCTGGCCCTTTACTACTTGAGCTACATTTCCACTTCTGGTTTGAGTAGAAAAGCCAAGTGAGAGGGGGATGAGGCTCTGAATTCAAGCCGCAATACACACACACACACACACTTCTGTGCTAATATCCTATTGTGTCGTGAGCAGAGAGAACTCTAGTTCTGGCTTCTCCTTGAGGCCTGCTCAGCCTGACCCTATCCCAAGATTCTTGGTTGCTCAATGCCTTTCCAGTCTACAAGTGCCAGGGCTTTCCTGAGTGACTTGTGGCCCCTCCATTCTCTCTGCAGAGCACCTTCCCCCCATCAAATTCCCACAGACGCTCAGGCCAGCTCTTCCCAAGCCCTACCCAGGCCTCTCTTGCCCTCACCCCCTACAGCATCCCATATTCCAAAAGTCTACACGTCGGGTTAGCACTTAGGTAATGGGGGTAAGGGGTTCACCCAGAACCTTTTTGGAAGTCATTTTCCTTCTCTAAGGAGAGAAAGGGATCATGCCTAAAATCCTAGCTACTCAGGAAGCTGAGATCTGAAGATTGCTATTCAAAAGCAGCCTTGGTAGAAAAGTCCACAAAAGACTCTGATCTCCAATTGAGCAGCAAAAAGTTAGGAGTAGAGGTGTGGTTCAAGTGATAGAACACCACGGCCTCTAGGCCCTGAGTTCAATTCCCACCAAGCACTGAATATACAACAAGCACTGAAAATAGACTTCATTGCCAAATCCAGAGGTGGTGTGGGAGGGTGAAATGGGTCTGTGAATCCTGGAGCAGGTTTGCCAGGGTTTGTGAGCCCAACATCACAAGTCCCACCCGTGCGAATGTTGGACAAGTTATTATTCTTATTTTTCAAAATGTATTATTTGTGTTTGCCAGTTCCTGAGTTTCAAGTCAGGGCCTGGTGCTGGCTTTGCTTGCTTGCTTTGCTGGTGCTCTACCACTTGAACCACACCTCCAGTCCTGCTTTTCTTGCTGACTATTTGAAAGGAAATAGATGCCACTTTTATTCACATTGTAGTCACTCGGGAGAAAGGGTTAAGAAGGAATTCCCTTGAGATATCAGGGTTATATTCCTCCCCCCTCCGTCCTCCCCCCCATGATGCAACTACCTTCTCAGAAGTCCAGGGACCTTGAAACCACTTTGAATGGCCAACCCTCTAGAACTAGAATCTGGAGAACTCCCGTGTATCGCTTCTCCCATCCCCCTCCTGCAGCTGCAGAGACACTAACTGGTGTGTTGAAGTAAGCCCCTTTGGGGAACAGCTGCTAATCAGGAAAGCCTGGATATTCAAAGCTACTCACAGAAATCCCTTTTGTTGGAAATTCAAGAGCCAGGGGGCTGAGGGGGGGTGGGGGGCGGGGGGACTAACGAAACACCAGATGTGTTTATTTATTTTCTACTAGTGGAAAGTACCTCTGCTCAAGGCAATCAGGACAGCGGATCTCCCTGAAGTGGGTGCCAGGAAAACCCTGGGTCCACACAGACACAGCTGGGGTGTTCTACATAGCCCAGCTGTGGAGAGGAAAGGCCTAGGTCCCCGTTTATCTTATTTTCTGGCTGATCAGTTTCTAGCTCTACCCTTTAGATCATTTCCTTTTACATGTCTGGGTTTTTTTTTTTTAATCTAGAAATACAAATCTTACCTAGCTTGAAGGATTGTGGGTAGAATTTCTAGCAATATATGGAAAATGTCTGGTACTTGGAAGCTGTTGTTCTCCTCGATGCTCAGAAGCTCAGGCTTTGCTACAAATTTGATTGATTGATTGATTGATGGCTTTTTTTTTTTTCTAGTCCTGGGGCTTGAACTCAGGGCCTGAGTATTGTCCCTGAGCCTCTTTGTGCTCAAGATTAGTGTTTTATCAATGGAGCCACAGAGCCACTTCTGGCTTTTTCTGAGTAGTTTATTGGAGGTAAGAGTCTTCACAGACTTTCCTGCCAGGTCTTACAACCTCGAGCCTCAGATCTTAGTCTCCTGAGGGGTACAGATGTGAGCCACCAGTGCCTGGCCACATTCTAGAAGGACTTTTTTTTTTTTTTTGGTCTGTATGTGCCAATTCTGGGGCTTGAACTCAGGGCCTGGGCATTGTCTCTGAGCTTTTTTGCTCAAAGGCTAGAGCTCTACTACTTGAATCACAGCTCTACTTCTGGCTTTTTGGTGATTAATCAGAGATAAGAGTCTCCCGAACTTTCCTGCCTGGTCTGGCTTTGAACCTCGATCCTCAGATCTCAGCCTCCTGAGTAGCTCGGATTACAGGCGGGAGCCACTGGCACCCTACTCATGAGCATTGTTTTTTGACCTTCATGTGTCAAAGTTACAGAGTACAATGGGGCATGACTTAGAACCTGGAAACCGGGGAACCCCCCACCCCAAGATTCTGCCACAGTCTGCAGTGGACTCCAGCAGCTCAGAGTCTGAAAGGTTTCCAGATTCTTCTAAGGCATAGCCCTGTGTGAGGGCCCCACATCTCCAGCATCCTTTTCTTCATCATGTTCCTGTGGCTTCGGGCCGCACCACACAGCATCAATACCGTGTGGCCAACACCTCCTGGCTGCTAAGTCCAGTGACCCATTTTTCAGGCTTCCTCCTACTTGTTCTGCCCACACCCTGCTTCTAGAACCCTCTTCTTACCCCACCCCAGACATCCGGCCTGCTTCTTAAGTAGCCACGCTGCTACTTGCTCTTGCCTTACTGACAATTCCCAGAGCCCTCTGCGTAGGCCCCGTGGCCTCATCCACTGCCATCCGCTGTCACTGTGCTCTGTTACCACCCCCGGGTGGCTCTGAGCAATCTACTCCCCACCCCTGCATCCCTGGATCCTCTCTGTCTGGGCACTGTCCCTAAGTTGTTGTTGTTGTTTTCTTCAAAACTAGCACTCCACCACTTGAATCACGGGCCTTACTGGGACAGCTGAGTTCAAGCCCCAGGACTAGTTCACTGGCATGTGCATGTGCGCATGTGCATGCACGCATGTACACACACACACACACACACACACACACAAGCCACAATCACCTTATTCCCTAGCTCCCAGTTTTATGATGGTTTCAGAATCTGCCCACACTCTTCTTTTTTTGTTGGTTCTGGAACTCAGGGTGTGGATGCTGTCCCTGAGCTTTTTTGGCTCAAGGCAAGCACTCTGCCACTTTTTATTGTTGTTGTTTTGTCAGTCGTGGGGCCTGAACTCTGCACCTGAGTGCTGTCCTTTAGCTCTTCAGCTCAAGGCTAGTGCTCTACCATTTGAGCTACAGCACCATTTCTGGCGTTTTCTGTTTATGTGGTGCTGAGGAATCAAACCCAGGGTCTCATGCATGCAAGGCAAGCAAGCACTCTACCACTGAGGCACCTTCCCAGCCCAGCACTCTGCCACTTTAAGCCACAGCTCCACTTATGGTTTCCTAGTGGTTAATTGGAGATAAGAGTCTCAGGGACTTCCCTGCCTGGTTGAGTTTGAACCATGATCCTCAGATCTCAGCCTCCTGAGCAGCTAGGATTACAGGCACGAGCCACCAGCATCTGGCCTGCCCACACTCTTGAGCTAAGAGGTTTAGCTGTTCTGTCCTGTGGCCTCCTGCGAGTCCTAATCTCAGTCCTCTCCCGGCCTGTTGTTTGCCTTTGAGCCCTGAGCACTGCTCAATCAGTCTCCAATGTCTTCTCCCTCCACACCTCTCCCTGGCAAACTCAACCTTCCCTGCTGACACTTACTCATCTCCTCCTGGCTGCCTCCTTCACACTCAAAAGGCTTCTATCATTAGCAAACACGCCTACTGTGTGCCAGGTGACACCCTGAAGGGCTTTGCAAATATTAGCACCTTTATTTTTATAACAACCTGTGAGGTCATGATCTTATTTGCATGTAGGGGGTGTGTGTGTATGCACACGCGCACAGTAGAGCTTGAACTTAGGTCAACAGATCTCTTTTTTTTTTGGGTCCAGTCATGGGGCCTGAACTCTGGGCCTGGGCGCTGTCCTTCAGCTCTTCAGCTCAAGGCTAGCACTCTACCACCTAGGCCACAGTGCCACTTCCGGCTTTTTTCTTTTTGCTTATGTGGTGCTGAGGAATCGAACCCAGGGCCTCAGGCATGCAAGGCAAGCGCTCTACCACTGAGCCAACTTCCCAGCCCTAGAGCTTGAACTCAGGGCCTGGGTTATGTTGCTTAGTTTTCTCCACTCAAGGCTGGTGTTCTATCCCTTGTGCCGTAGATCCGCTTCTCGCTTTTGGGTGGTTTATTGGAGATAAGTCTCTCAGACTTTCCTGTTCAGGTTGGCTTTGAAGCATGACTCTCAGATCTCAGCCTCCTGAGTAGCTAGGATTATAGGCATGAGTCACTGGTGCCTGGCTCAAATTTACTTTTTGTTTTTTTTCTTTCAGTACTAGGGTTTGTACCCAGAGCTTTGAGCATGCCCGGCAGGTGTTCTACTACTGAGCCATGCTTCCATCCCGATCTATTTGCATATTTTTAATTCTTTTTTTTTGTGGTACTGGAGATTAAAGTTGGGGCTCATGATTTCTAGGCAGATGCTCTACCACTAAGTCATGCTTCCAGCTCTGGTTTTTGCTGGTTAGTTTTTTTTTGGGGGGGGAGGGAGGAGTTCATGGGGCTTGAACTCAGGGCCTGGGTGCTGTCCCTGAGCTTTTGTGCTCAAAGCTAGTGCTCTGGCATTTTGAACCATAGCGCCACTTTCAGTTTTCTGGTGGTTAATTGGAGATAAGAGTCTCACAGACTTTCCTGCTCAGGCTGGTTTTGAATTGTGATCCTCAGATCTCAGCCTCCTGAGTAGCTAGGATTACAGGTGTGTCACTGGTGCCAGGTGCTTGTTAGATTTTTGGTTTTTTTTTTTTTTGGTGGGTCATGGGACTTGAACTCTGGGCCTGGGCACTGTCTCTCAGTACTTCAGTTCAAGGCGAGATCTCTACCACTCAAGCCACAGCACCACTTCTGTTCTCTGGTGGTTTATTGGAGATAAGAGTCTCCTGGGCTTTCCTGCCTAGGCTAGCTTTGAACCATGATCCTCAGATCTCAGCCTTCTGAGGAGCAAGGTTACAGGCATGAGCCACAGGAGCCTGGTGTGCTTGTTAGTTTTTGAGACCGGGTTTCACTTCCTGCCCAAATATGCACCTGGGCCACAATATGCCTAGTCTAGGTTTCCTGTAGTTACTGAATGACAAGTGCATGTCCATTCTGTTGAGAATGTTGTCTGAATGGAAACATTCAATAGCAGTCTTTGACTCTAGATTCTTGTACTGTGTGTAACCTGGGTGCTGTCCCTTAGCTTTTCACTCAAGGCTGCTACTGTACCACCTGAGCCAGAACTCTACTTCTGGCATTTTGGTAGTTAATTAGAGATAAGAGTCTCCCTAATCTGTCTGCCTGCATTAGCTTCAAGCTGTGATCCTCCGATCTCAGCCTTCTGAGTAGCTAGGATTACAGACATGAGTCACCATCGCCAAGATGAGGTTTTTGTACTTAGAATACTATATTTAGGGCAAACAGTTTCTACCATGTCAATTAGTGGCTGGGTCCTTTTTTATTATTGCATAGTAGATTTGCATTGCATAGATAGATTCTCATTTTGTTTGTTTTGCTTCTCCTTGGCATTAAAATTTTTTCATTATTATAAAGGTGGTGTACAGAGGGGTTACAGTTACATAAGTCAAGTAAAGAGTACACTTCTCTTTCCCCCTTTTTTTTCCTTTTTCTGCTAGTCCTGGGGCTTGAACTCAGATCCTGGGCACACTCCCTGAGCTTCTTTTGCTCAAGGCTAGCACTCTACCATTTGAGCCACCTCTTTTTCTGAGTAGTTTATTGGAGACCAGACTCTCACGTACTTTCCTGCTTGGGCTGGCTTCAAGCCATGATCCTCACATCTCAGCCTCCTGAATAGCTAGGATTACAGGCAAGAGCCACCAGTGCCTGCCTAAGAGTACATTTATTTTTGGACAATGTCATCCCTCCCCTTGCTTTCTTCCAGTTTTTCCCTCTAGTCGCCATCTACAAGTTGTACAGTTCAATTTCAACATAGTGTCTAGTGAGTACCACTGGTTGCCTTTGTTCATCCTTTGTTCCCCCCCTTTCTGTGTTTTGTTTTTTAAAATCACTGCTTCTAGTTTGAATGGAGGAATTTCAGGGAAGAATATACCTCTCTGCTATTTGTTCCCAGGCCTTTTCCTTAGGTGGGTGGTGTAGGGACCGTCAGCCTGGGCACAGCCAGCTGGGGCTAGGGGAATGCAGATAGATGCTGAAGACTGGCTCAGGGCATGCGGGGTGAGTGATCCCTAAGTGATTGTCTTTGGAGAAGAATGAAACTGGGTATTTCTGTGTGTGTGTATGTGTGTGTGTGTGTCTGTGTGTATGTAAGGGATAGAGAAAGAGAGAGCATGCACACGTGCGGCTGTGAAAACAAATACCCTCACACTGGGTCTAATTTTTCTCCCCCATCCCTGGAAAGCCAAGTACCTTGATGGCTGGACTCAAGAGGCTGCAAATCTTTCTCTGACCGACAGGTGGCGGTGCTGGCCCACATCTGGGTTCCGCCACTGCAGTCTATTCAATAGACCAGAAAGGCAAGTCAGCAGGCCATGCAGGACCTTAGATCACCCTGCTCACACCCCTTATTTCTGAAGCCATGTTTCACAGAAGAGGTGTCAAACCCAGTTTTCCTGTGTCCTTTCCTCCTTGAGTGGCCTCTAGCTCTAAAGGCAACCCAGCTGAAACTTAGAAGAGATTTCTAAAGTAGAAACAAAGGCAGAAGGACAGACAAGAGACAGCAAGGCATCTAGTTCTGATCTTATTGCCAATTTGTTGTATGATCTCAGCCAATTTGCCTTCCCTCTGTGGTCCTCATAAAAATCTGAGTTTACATCTTTAATATACTAAGATGAAAAAGACCCATGTTCATATAGTGCTGGAGGGCTTCCATGTGTATACATAACTAATCTTTGCAGGCAAACCGATAGGAGGAAACGGTGGCCTTCATTCAAGTACACACAGGACAGCTGCATGCGTTGTTAGAACATTACATACAGCCAAGTGTAGTAGTGCACAGCTGTAATGCCAGCATTCAGGAGGCTTGAAGCAGAGGATCTCAAGTTCATAGCTACATAGTGAGATCCTGTTTTAAAAGAAAACAAATGCATAACATACTGCTATTATTGGTCTTTTTATATTAATATAAATATATATACATATATATAATTTGAATTTTTGGAAACTTTAGCTGTGCTGTCAACTTTGGAAAAAGTATCCCAGTTTACCATATTGAGTTAGCATTGTACAGAAATTAATAGCCATATTGGTCTAGAAATGTTAAACTTAATTTTTTCCATTTTTTCCCACTGTATTAAATATGTAAGGTCTTATCTACATGGGTTTGATTACAGAAACTAATAAAGTATTCTCTAAATAATGAAAAAAATAAAAAAATAAAAGAAAACAAAACAAGAACCCCAAAACAACTTCCAGCTGGGTGCTGGTGGCTCATGCTTATAATAATTCTAGCTATTCAGGAGTCTGAGATCTGAAAGGATCATAGTTCATAGCCAGCCTGGGTGGGAAAGTCCATGAGACTCTTCATCTCCAATTAACTACCAAAAAGCCTAAGTGGAGTTGTGGCTCAAGAAGTAGGGTGGCAGCCAAGACCAGGGAGCAGGAGACCCTGAGTTCAAGCCCCAGTATTGCCACAAAAAGAAAAGATAAAAGAAAAAAAAACTAAAAAGAACATGGTGCCGGGCACTGGTGGCTCGTGCCTGTAATCTTAGCTACTCAGGAGGCTGCGATCTGAAGATCCCGGTTCAATGCCAGTCTGGGCAGGAAAGTCCCCCAAGACTCTTATCTCCAATGAACCACCAGAAAACCGGAAGTGGCGCTGTGGTTCAAGTGGTAGAGCGCCCGCCTTGAGCTGAAGAGCTGAGGGACAGCACCCAGGCCCAGAGTTCAAGCCCCACAAGAAAAGAGCATGGTCATGACAGGAAGAAACCCATATCTGGCTTTTTAAAAAAGATTATGTGATTCTTATTAGAAATGAATCTCACTAGGTTGTCCTGTATTTCAATTTGTCCGGTGCTCTGAGCCCACACTGGGCCCAGCTCTCCTCTCTGGTTGGCTAGTTCCCGCCCCGCCCCCTTATTTACCTCTCCTCCCTGATTGGCTAGTCCCCCTCCCCTGGATCCAGCTCTCCTCCCTGATTGGCTAGTGCCCGATGCAACAGGTTGTTACATGTTCTGTCTCCCGCAGGGTAGGCAGCCGCAGCCCACCAACGTGGCGCCCGTGTTGTTCCCTTGCAGGCCTGGAGCTCCTGCTGCCCCCGACCACCCTGGCCGCCCTGGCGGACAGCTGGCTCCAGGAGGACTGTCCGGGCCTCAACTTCGCAGCTCTGGTGACCGGGGCAGGCCCCGCGCAGGCGGCACTGTGGGCCAAATCCCCCGGGGTCCTGGCCGGACGGCCTTTCTTCGATGCCATCTTTGCCCGGCTCAACTGCCAGGTGTCCTGGCTCCTCCCGGAGGGCTCCAAGCTGGTCCCGGTGGTCAAGGTGGCCGAGGTCCGGGGCCCTGCGCACCGCCTGCTGCTGGGGGAGCGGGTGGCCCTGAACACCCTGGCCCGCTGCAGCGGGGTGGCCAGCGCGGCCGCCTCGG